TCTTCCTCTGCCACCTCCCCCTCCCCAGCCACAATGTGAGTGAGGCGACGCGCCTCCTCAACGCATATCTGGGTGTGGTGTTGTTCCTTTGCGACGCACATCTCGGCGGCGGTCTATGACCGGCGCTTGGGCGTGAGCATCCTGTAGTAGGTTATTTGTCGTCGGGGAAGGAGAAAATGGTGAGTGGTGGCGGCGCGGACGCAAGGGAAAGGATGGAAATGGCGCTGACTAGGGTCTCTTTTGCCGACCGACTTAAATAGCCGGATTTGATGCCTCGGGCAGCAAACCCGAGCGATGGCATGAATTGTGTTCTCACCAAATCCAAGGAGGAAGCTAGTTGACCGATGGTTTTTTGTGTGGGCCCCACCTGATAGTTCAATGTGGTTTCCATGTATGTGCTATCCGCACCACGTATGGGTTGGATATGAAGGGCGCCGAACAACCCGGTCGTTTGGGTTGGGTATGGAGGGCCTGAGCATTTTATACCTGCCGCTCTAGGGTGCTCAACTATTGACTCGCGGGTTGCTCGTGGTGTCTACTCGGCGTTTGTTGTTAAGTTTTGGTCCTACCAAGGATATCCTTATAATTTTGGCTGCAAATTTGAGGTGGTTTGCTACCTACACGATTTCATCCTACTTTCCCCAATAGAATATAAACTTTGGAGTGATTTTTTGCTGCACTTTGAGGGATTATCATGATGTTTAATTATGTTAATAATGTTGAGAGTTGGCACTAATGAAAGTATGAGCCCTAGGCATTGTTTCCAAGCATTGTGACACCATTTTACTCACTTTTGTTACTTACCTTGTTGTTTTTATCTGTTCAGAATATAAAAATCCATTTCTACCATCCATATTACACATTTATCATAATTTATTTGCCGAACTAGTGCACCTATACAACTGACATTTGTATTAGGTGTGTTGGGGACACAAGAGACTACTTGTATTTGATTGCAGGGTTATTTGAGAGAGAACCACCTTCATCCTACACCTCTTGCAGATTGATAAACCTTAGGTCACTCACTTGAGTGAAAATTGCTACTGTTCTACAAGACTCTGCCGTTGGAGGCCCAACAAAGTCTTCAAGAATAAAGTTGCGTAGTAGATATCAGGGGTTAGGGTTTACATGGGGATCTAAACGACCTTGGGCCGCTGCGATTCTTTGCTTGTCCAAGATGATCATAGAGCTGAAGAGCTCTGCCCGAGCCTCCCCTATAGCTGGGTTCCTTGAGGTCGAGTGGGCCCTTGGTAGGCCTGTTGTCGTGCTTCCTTTTGGCTAGCCATCCCCGGTGAATGGCACCGTCATAGGACCAAGTGCATGGTGAGTGTCCAATACCACATGATAACACCATTTATTTCCTATGGTGATGAGATCTCAATCCAAGGTTGGATCTTCCCTAAGGGAGGGGGAGAGATGATTTTGAGCATCCCATGGACATCAACATGTCAAGTGCTCCATCATCAAGAGACATGTGCAACATATACTTCATACATATAAAGGTGAATTTTCTCCTTTATGCGTGTTCACTTGGCACTCTCATGGATGGTATACTACTTGACCCTCCCCCTCGTGCACACATAGGTTTGAGAGAAGTATCACATGTACCATGGAGGTGATCATGCATTATTAGAGCGAGACCACCATCCAACAGGGAAGCTTGGAGGAGGTGACAGAAGAAGACAGAGCAATAGAGGAGTGTAGATTTTGCACTACCGGACAGGCCAGTCAGCATCTTCATGAAGCCCCAAACCTTATGTTGCCACCAGACTATCCGGTAAGGGGGAATAGACTGTCTGGTCCTCCCGACCATACTATCAGGTACTGCTTCTGCAAGCAGAGTTGGGGCAAGGCCCGTGTATCTTTCCCATTTCCCCCTTACTTACCCCTTCGTGCCTTGGACCTATATATACCTCTTCCCCTCCTCCATTCTAGGGTAAGCTAAGATAGAACTCAAACCATAGAGCTTAGCTCATGTATCTCCCCTTGTGGGATTACTCCTCCATGGAGATGGCTCCTGTAGTGGAGATGAGGCATCCTCTTGAGGGAATGACTCCATAGGAGTACCAAGGCGTCCACTTGTGGGGAAGATTCCTCCATGGAATTCAAGTCCTCCTTGACTTAGGACTTAGGGAAGAACCTTATCTTGTTTCATCTATTTCTTTGGGTGATCGAACTAATGATCTATCTTTGTGTATATCTTGTATTGTATCTTGTGTGTTGATTTGCATTCATTTCCCTTGTGATTCTCTTGTTTTCCCTTGTGTTCTTCCTCAGACCCACCTCCAATTCATGAAGATCGGGCCACCCTAGGGGTTTCCCTACATCATACACCTCCATAGCAGCCACCAAGAACACATTAAGATCCAATCCATGAAGAGAGAAGAAGATAACGAAGGTGGAGGAAGCGACACCACCATCTGCGCTCGCTTGGACCTCTAAGTTAACGCCATCTCCATCAATGCATCAACGACGACTCCCCCACCATGTCCTCCTTCCCCAACGTGTCTCTCACGTTAGTTATAATATCCCCCAGCTCTATGTATTTGTCTCTTATGTTTGAATAATCTTTCATCTCTCGGTAGATGGTTATTAACTTGTGTTTGACTGCTTGTGAGTTATTATGCATAGATTGTTTCTATGTACCGGTGTAGGTCGCGAAAGTTTACCAGGTAACACATATATGATTTCTACTAAGTAAATGTCATGGGATTGAATGGTGAGAAATAAGCCACCTCTCTCCTTTATCGTATAACCGAGGAGCAATGAATAGTCGTTATCTTTATGTCGCATCTGATGGGAAACCCTTAGTTATCACCTTATACCGGCGAAAGTCCAAATTGAGTGGTAGTGGTGTGAGAGGTATGTGTCTGTGGCAGCATGACATGCCTAGCCTTAGACTTCACCCTGTTACCTCACTAGTTAGTTTCCATGCACCCATAGGCCTTTATTACTCGAGCATCACTTCTGACTTGTTAGTTACCTTCAATTGCAGTTTTTACCTTATTGTTCATGTTACATAAATCCTTTATTTACTGTACTCCTAGCAACTGGTAGAATAGACTTGTTAGCTACGTAGTGTGACAACACAGTTATGGGGTTGATAGTGACTATCTTTTGGCTCTTCTGGATCTGATATATAAACCGAGCGAGTCGAGGCTCTGACCCTGCCTTGCCATAGCCGCTCCTCGTCTCCAACGACGCCTCCTCCGAGCTATGATGTTGATTCATCCGATTTGTGTGGTCATGGTAGTCTTCCTTGGCGGTCGGTTGAGGCCTCGCGGTGGACCCTTTGTCGGTACCGCTCCGGTCCTAGAGGCTATGGACCAGCGTTCTCCAGCACCCCCGGCCTACCGACATCTTTTGTTGGCACAATTTCGTTCCACGCACTCCATTGTTGAATCCTCTACAGCCTTCTGCTCATCGGCATCCCAGCGGCTCCACCCCGGCAGTTTGGACCTATGCCATCCTTTTGGCTCCTAGCTTGCCGGTGGCATCGCTCACCATCCCTTCCTCTGTGTTGGCTCTCTCTGCCTTGTCGCCTCCCTGGCCCCGTCCAGCTCCACGACGTGCCAATCCCGAAGCTTGCGTTTTTCAGCGTCGACTGATGCCATCCTTTGGCGGCAGACACAACCCCCTCCCCTCCTGAGGTGGTGATCTTGACCAGCGAAACGACTTCCTTATCTTCAGACCCGACATCAATGGGATTGCTCGGGCCCAGTCCAGGACGAAATCCTTGGTTGCCTTCTGGCTACCGCAGCACCAGCGGGCATCATTTCCCTTCTTGGAGGCGCTGACATGGCCTCTATCTGGGCCCCTCTTCGAGCACAGGGGGAAATCCTTGGTCCGGTTCTTCGGGTCAGAAGGCGGCGATGGCACGACGTCGCTCCCCTTCTTGAGGGTGCTATCTTGCTTGCTCACGGCGTCCTTGGTGTTGAATTTGGAGATGATGTGGCTTAGCTATGGTCTTTTCATCTGTTAAGGCTGAGCATCTCGCGTCTCTCTGCTCCGCGTACCATGATCACGTCTTCTCATGTATGCATTCGTGCTATGTGTTGTACCTACACAACCTTTGCGTATCTGCGAAAAAAATTTGTTAACAGCGTGCCTAATCAAATTCTGGCATGTCCATGCAGCGAGTGCGCAACACAAAGCATACAGCAAACGAATCTACAAGATAGCAAAAACAGGTATTGTTCATCCAGCCAAAGAGTCGAGCAAACATACTAACTTGGCATTCCTGAACGATGTTCTCAAGTGTTCCAGTGAAAAAGGAGAGCAGCATACTACTGGACGGTCCAGCCACGAAATTGAACTTACCATATTAATTTGCATTTCTTCAGTCTGCCACCAAACAATGTGTTCAAGCCAGCAGGGAACATTACAATGCGATAAAGCTCTCTAATTCTTCAGTATGCTACCAAAACAACGTGTTCAAGCCAGCAGGGAACATTACAATGCGATAAAGCTCTAATTCTAGATTTGTTCCTTTGCTAAGCCAAAGCATCCGGGGCTGATAACCACTAGAAACCCCATGTATGTGATGCACTGTCGCACCCATTTACAAATTACAACTCGATATAATCAGCAGAATCTCGTTTGGAACAGGGAGACAAATTTGTCATTACATGACTGTCAAAACCATGACCTATTTCATGGAAAACCCCGGAAACAGATGGGAAGGATTCAATCATTCTAGTAATCCAATCAAGGATCTAGCACATCAGGCAACACAAAGGACCAACATCAGCAGTCGATGCAAGATTGAAAACAGAGCAGCATATATAGACATTAGGTAAGTGCTCAATCCAGCCAAAAAGAGTTAAGCTGCCATATTACAATCATCACATGTCCTAAGCATGCAGCGAAACATAACCAAACTGTTCAAAAGAGACAATGCTCCACATCCAACAGGAACATTACACCAAGACATTTAAAATTTCTGACAGTCTTGATAAGCTGAGACAAGTAGATAACTGATTCAACTGATGTGTGGCTCTTCAACAGAACCAACGCCTTTTCGACTTTAGCCGTAGCTGACAATAATTGGTTAGAGAAAATACATTAGACGAATATGGACAATGGATTACATAAAGAAACAGAACTTATTTTATCTGCTCCAAATGTCAGAAATATCTATACATGAGAAGATAGTTTAGCAGGGCACATGTTGCAGGGGGGCAATTTAAAGCATCGAGGCATAACATAAAATCAATTGTTTGATCGAGAAGCCCGATAAGGTCAAATATGCTAGTGTCATCAGACGCAGTGAAACTAACTATGAGACAAGGCACATAAAACATATTGGGTTAACATCAGTGAGAAGAACATGGACCTTGCTAACCTACATGAGTATAACACTTTCAGTTTCTTTGATGATAAGAGAAAACAAGGCTCACCTGGTTGCTGTGGCCACATTTCTTCTTGCGGCAATTCGTAGCCCTGAGCGGCAGGCGTGAATAGCACCTACAAAAAAATGGTGAGAAATGTTAGCTGCATCACAAACACGAAATTCCTGTGAATGACTTATCGCCTAAGCAAAGGTAATAGACAGAGCATGCATGATTGATTAAGCACTTCGGCTACCAAATAGCAGTTACATACAAAAAAATCAGCACTGCAAGCAGTAATGTTCTTGAAAGCAGCATTTCAGACAGTAAGTATTTTTTTTCTCATAGGGTGGCTCACAAACGACAGGCCTAATTAACTAAGTATTTCCGCAGCCAACAGCCAGAAAAGCCATGCAACACTCCTGAAAAGATGAACAAACATAAACCTGACGGAACACCGAGGGAATGAGCAATCAGCTACAAACGAACATGGTATAGTAAATATGGGGCTTTTCTTATCAAACAGGAGCATCACATTTCATGATGTCAGATTCTCTATATCAGGATGCAAGGGGATATAAAGGGAAAAAAAATGGCACATAACTAAGTATTGCATCAATTAATCAATCAATAAAGCTCCTTGCCTATTGATCCTGCTACTGGTTAGCCCCTTCATTAATTCAGATTAGAAGATGAATACTCCCTCCGTTCCAAAATAGATGACTCAATTTTGGAACGGAGGGAGTACCTCATAAGGCCCAAACAATGTTACATGCATGCATTGCATACCCTCTTGTATAACCCTCTACAAAGCACCAACTTTTGTCGAATTTAAGACAGTTAGGACGCTCAGAAAATATCCACTCATACGAACAAAAGCTAACTAGTTTGAGAACGGTGCAGGGCATAATTCATTACTTGCGGCAGATCAGTTTCTTCTGGTTGTACTTCTGAGCGAGTTCCTTGAGGCTGGGCTCGATCCTGGTGCCCCCGCGGAGGCGAAGCACAAGGTGCAGCGTGGACTCCTTCTGGATGTTGTAGTCGGCCAGGGTGCGGCCATCGTCCAGCTGCTTCCCCGCGAAGATGAGGCGCTGCTGGTCCGGAGGGATGCCTGCGATCGATCCACACCACACCACAAAGCAGATCAACCAAAGCCAGAGCCGAAAACGGTGGATTCAACCTCGACGCTCGAGGAAATGGAAGGCGACGGGGGTGAGAAGAACAGGCCGTACCTTCCTTGTCCTGGATCTTGGCCTTGACGTTGTCGACCGTGTCGCTGCTCTCCACCTCTAGGGTGATGGTCTTCCCCGTCAGCGTCTTCACGAAGATCTGCATCTCGTCGATGCTCCGCTCCCTCGCCTCTCTCTCTTTCACGAGCTCCCGCCCCTGTCCGGATAGCGCTTGCGACGACTGGAGGAGGAGATGGTGGTGCGAAGAACGAAGGCGGCGCCGCGGGAGGGCGGGGTCGTTATATAGCCTTGGGCAGGCCCACGGCCCACCACGTGTCGTATGCACGGAAACCCTACCTGTCGGAGTTGCCGTCCGGCGCTCTAATGGTGGCACGCCAATCGCAAATTTGTTCATGTCGAGCTGACAATTTTAGTTGTTCAGTTAGATCAAATGATGGCAGTTTTTAAACAAAAATATCTTCTTTTAAGGAAACTGCTTATAATTAAAACTGCAACGAAATCGTTCAAAATGCCACCTCTCCCAAGCGAATGTTCGTCAGCTAAACGTGTCCTTTTGTAGAAGCGAGACCTTTACTAATACTACTAATTGCCGCATTTTACGGACGGTAACCATCAGTAGTAATTTTTAGAGGTAGACGGTGGTCACCGATAGACGGCGAGGCAATAGTTGCCTTGGGCCCATAAATCTGCCGACCCAGCCCATACAGCGGAGAAGCGGAGAAGGTCCTAGGGATGAAACAATCTGACGACTCACGGTGGGGCTGGGAGCAACTCAAGCAGATTTCCCTCCCGCAAAATCGTTTTAAGATTCCTCTAAAACAATTTTGCGGGAAGTGATGCGCCTCGGCAGAATTGATCCGCTATCACATAAGACCATACATAGTTCCCGCTATAAATTTCATTGCACCACACTGGAGTACATACATACATAAAACATAGATAAAACTTGGATTAAACAAATATCTAATAGATAGGGAGGCGGTGGCTCAGTGGCTGACACCGTGGAAGAACGCCTCCGCTGACCTGCGGCAAGCGTGGGCATAGGTATGCTCCTCCTGCACGGCAGCGAGCCTGTCGGTGAATCCTTCTTCTCCGACCTCGACGGTGCGCTCGCGGCGAGGAGCTCCGCATCCGCGGCGCGGCATGCCTCAAGATGGAAACGGGGCCTCGAAACCCGTGTCTTCGCGGGTTTTTACCCTATTAGGAAATGAGGATGGGCCTGTTTCTATCCCCGCGGGGCTGCTCATGAGTAACTTTTAAAACCCTGCCAAGTGTTGTCGGTGCAAACTCGTTCCAGCACTACCCGCACCTGGAACCAGGCAAACCCGTGAAACATATGACATGTAGTCACTAGAATAGAGCTAGGTTGGCCAAAAGCCCATTATCCCACCTCTGTGCACCCAAAAAGTCACTTATAAATGCCAGCTTACCACACTACCTCATCTAAACCACAAGCACAACCTCAAAAATCTCAAACCCATGCACGCACCCATCTGCTTACCTTCTGGTGCTGCCTTCCAAATGTTGATATTGTTCTTTATGACCGCTCGCGAGGATGGATTCTTGGTGCCGCCTCCCAAAAGTTGCTATTGTTCTTTATGACCGCTTGCGGGGATGGGTTCCTTGCGGGTACGGAAAACCCGACAGGGACGGGGATGGGGAAAAACCTATCCCCGCGCACGGTTTCGGGGAAGGGGACGGGCTTGGGTATCTCTTGCGGGGACGGGGATGGGCAAGCAAAACCCGGCGGGTTTCGTCCCCGTTGCCATCTTGAGGCACGCCACGGTGTGCGGGTAGAGCTATTCGTGGAGGCAGTGGAAATTGGCCCAATGGGACTGACTACCGCTACGGGAGAGATGGTCGCGTTCCCGTGCCTGCTTGGACTGCCTTGAAGGGGGGATGGGAGGGAGGTGCTGGCCTCCGTGTTGTTGCGCGAGATCTTGCATGGCGGTGAGCCCCCATGGCCACGACAACCACGCCCCAATGCGGAACCCGCCATTGGTCGCCGAAAAAAGAAACCGCGTCTAGCGTAATTGCTCGTCGGAGATAGGAAGGGAGGAGGTGGATTGCAGTGGAGGAAAATGCGAGAAGGGAACCCTAAAACTCTGGTGGTCCCGTAGATATAGCGGGCGAACGTCCGTTTTGTGGGCCGCTTGTATAATTTTTACAGGCCGGGCTAGATATAATGGACCTGTTCGGACCGCAAAAACTGCAAAAATGCTATATCGGCCAGAATTATGCAGGTCGAGGAGGTTATAACATATCTTCTAGAATTGCACTAAGAAAGCAAAAGATGGAGGGAAGGAACAATCCGAATGAATCCAAGCACCTGCATTGTTCAGTAGTTTCATACTTCCATTGTTGCTCTATATTAGACATCCAGACTATTTTTTTAGAACAGAGACTGGAGAAGAGCCCAACTTTGAATTAACAAAGTCATCAGCCGGTAGAATTACATCTCTAGAAAACAACCACAATCTGCACCAAAGAAAGCATGACAAGATACAAAGACGATAGGAAGCAGCTTACAAGCCTCACTCAACAAGCTAAAAGGATAAACATACCACAAGGGAGAGGAGAATTCCAACTCAGGAGCATCAAATCCAACGACGAGGAAGGGCATGTCGTCACAAAAACACCGGCGGCCCGACATGACACACCTATCCAGCTCCATTGTCGTAAAAGGCCCCTGCCTCCACATCTCGCTCGAAGGCGCCACGTCATCGTTAGATGGAGAAGTTCACCCTAGAACATGGATGAAAGTCACCGAAAGGCAGCACCAAGAAAGGAACCAAGCACACCCGACTTGCCACAGACTACTCACCTAGAGCTGAACACCACCGACGCCCATGTACAGGTTCATGTAAGAGGAAAAACTGCAGGATTTGGCGAACAAGAGCAATGTCATAGTGCCTTGGGTTGCATTGAGAACTCTAGAAGCATTGCAGAGGTTGAAAGATGCAACATCAACTCTCACGACGCGCTGAGATGGGAAGCGGGAGGAGGGGAACCCTCCCGCCCCGGAATATCCATGAGAACCGGCGGACACACAACAATGCATGGAGAGCACCCAAAGCTCATGATACTACCAAACAAGAAGTCGTTGCAGTCATGGGAGACGTGTTACCGCCGTCGCATGCCAATTGCATCACCGTGAAGCCCACATCTCACCTAGTTCCAAAGGTGGCGCCTTCAGGAAGGATACATCGCCAAGAGCGTTGTCGCCGCCCAGTAAAGTTGGGGTTTTCACCTTGGAGGCTAGGGGAAGGGGGCGGGAGGAGCAGACCAGGATGGCGCCTCCAAGGAGGAAGGGACTGTCGTCCACGGGATACGCCGCCGTCAAGACCGCCGAGGACAACCTGGGATTTCTCTCGATCTTCATTTCCCTGTCACCAACACTCCATCGGCACAGGGACCGGCACCCCAAGACGTAGCAGGCCAGATTTACCTGCAGGTGAAGCTCACAGAACAACAGAGGAGGTGGAGGCAGCCAGATCTGGCGCCGACAGGAGCCAAAGTTTCCACCACGCCATGGGTCGCATTCTCCGGAGCATCCGCCATCCAAAAGGCCAAGGACACCGGCGCACACCCGCGCCACCTAGCGCTGTAGATCCTGTGGCACCTATCCGATTGGGGCAGCCGCCCTGGAGCCGATGCCCCATCGGCCGAGGCGGAGAAGTAGAGACCCAGCCACCACCTTCTTAGTAGTGCCCTGTGCTTGCCCGGCGGCTAACTTAGGCCACTGCGAGGGAGGCGGCGGGGTTAGGGTTTTGATCCCGAGTCGCCCGAGCAAGGACATTCAGACTATTTTCACCCGTAATCAAGATTTTTGCAGCACATACCTTGTTCATTCCAATTAGAATTTCTTAAGCATGTCATCATATCAGCACGAAGTGTTCAACGGCGCAATCAAGATTCGACTTACATAAGAGCTTAGGTTCCGGGTTTTGATCAATCACGACGTGTTGTTAGGTCACGAAGCCACAAAAAATATTACAATCAGCGGCACTGAGTAACAACAAAAATGAAAAGCCATGTCAAACAAAAATCGGTTTGCAGTCATGCTACCATCGGTGGGGACTGGAGATGTGTTCAGGGCTGTAATCAACACATTAACATTCGGAAGAAAACCATGGCACCAACACACTACAATACCACCACCATCCTGGTTTATTGGTCCCCTTTGCATTTTACGCCAAGTTTTGGCCTTTGATTTAACTAATAAAATGTTAATACACGTAACCAAATATAATATCATTGGAAACTATGTTCAAATACAAATCCAATGATACAATTGTTTATGACATGCATTATTATTATTATTTTAGTTAAATCTATGGTCAAAATTTAGCACAAAATACTAAGGGGACCAATAAACCAAGATGGAGGTAGTACCTGATGTTAATCAGGGTTCTACATCCATGAGGACATTTACAACTGAAAGGACATGCGGTGACCCCATGTGTGGTTTTGGTAATTGATGACATTTTCTATGGACTAATGGTTGCATTGAGTTATATTTGAAGGATTTGTCCATATGCTTTTCTTGAAGTCCATGTATTGGTTTCAAGGAGTTTATGAGTTGACCAAGGTGCTATTAAGGAATTATCCAAAGATTGGTCATGTGAGTGGTGAGCTTATCGCAAGCATGTCTTGAAGAAGGAGATTGTGTGGACATTCAAGTTTACCTTCAAGACATCATCCTAATGAAGAGAGTTGGAAAGATTCAAGGTTGATCAAGACTAATTAGAGAGAGTGATTCAAGTTGCTCAACACACAAATCACACAAGTTGTACCGAGAGGGATCAAGTGATCCCATGGTATGGTAAGCATTGTCCATTATGCTTTGTGTACTAACCCAAGGTCTACGTGAGAATTCTTTGTGGGGTTAGGTATGTTTCCATGGGCTTGCGTCAAGAGGAAGATATCATACAACCCATGGAGGATGACAAGTGGTGTTCGTCATCATGTTTGCAGTGGCAAGTTCTAGTGGAGCAACACGAAGAGTGGCTCACCCATAATGGAGTATGGGGGAGAAATCATGCTTAAAGCTTGTTGTCCATTGTGGTGGCAATAGACTTGTGAAGATGTGCCGAAGAGTGGCTAACCCATAGTGGAGTATGGGGGAGCAATCAACTAGTCTTC